CTTCGCTTCTCTCATAGTAATTCTTTCGGGTTAATATCAGAAACCTCTCCTGAGGTTTCTTGAAATATCACTAAGCTCCCCCCACATTTTGGAAATCTCTCCTACCACCCCTTGAATTGATATTTTCTTAACAATGTCAGCCTCTCTAAGCAAAAGTAACAATAGAAAATGCATTTTGGAGGAGGGAGAATATTTTAGTTCCCTTCATACCCTTAGGTTGATTGATACAGTGACATAAGAAAATTGCAGAGAGTGAAAAATATGAATTGGAGAGTATTTTTCTGGCATGAGCACTGTTGCATGACCGTTGGACATGCAACGGCTACTTTGAGTGCTTCTAGCAGTATTAAAAGGTGAATGAACCGCTGCTGAAGTAAAGCAGATAGAGAGGTAACTGGGCAAAGCAATGGCTAGTTCATCCTTTGAAGGGCACTCATACAAATCACCTTCATCATTAAGCATGAAGAACTGGTATTGTAAATGCAATCGCAATGCTATATTACGAATTTCAGAGAGTGAAAGAAATCCGGATAAGCTATATTTTAGTTGTTCAAAGTGCATCTACTTTACTTCCAGTGGTATGAAGAAAATGAAGGTGAAGAGTTGCAGAGCCAAAGAAATGAAAGTGAAGAAGTGCAGAGCCAAAGAAATGAAGCTGATCATGCAGTGCTTCCATTAAGGACAGCAAATCAGGAATGTAACTTGATGTCTCGACAAAATGCAATTATCACCATCTTGTTCATCATCAATCTACTACTCTTAGCAATTTATCTTTTCATTCAAATAGTTAAAACAATCACACTTTCTTGTTCTAGTAGTAGTAGATGTGTTCCAAACTGTTTAGAGCCTTACTGGTCATACATGAAAGAACCAGAAGGCATGTGTAAGTCGGACATGATATTAAGCTAACATCCCTTTCTCAAACTAATGTCCTCTCTCGGATTGTAAGTCCACATTTTTACTGCATGATTGCTCTCATAGGATCTGATTATTGGTTAGATTCTGAATCAGGCACAACTTCTGCATCCTCAATCTCCTCATAATCAGACAAGTCATTTTCCTCCTTGTCACTGGAAGAAATTAAGGACTTATCTTCAACTATGACATCTTCCAAGTCACTATCTATGTCATCCTTCCAAGAGTCATCAGAACTAGAGGCATAAATCTCATCATCACCCTCACTGTCAACTACAGGAATATGAGCTTTTTTGATTCCTATGTCTTTCTGTACATCCTGAAGTTGGTTATTCCTGTTGTCTACCATATTCTCCTCTGTAGTAGGAATAATATCCAGGTACAACAAATACAAGTTTATAACAAGATCTTGTTCATGAAGTTTGAACATATCAGATACTGATTTGTCACTACTGATGTCCATAAAGTCTGTTGTCCTAGGAATCGCACATTTCATATGCATAAGCATGTTCAAATTTCCAGGCAAATCATTCATTGCCTTATTAGTATCATCGCCAAGAAGGTCAATATATTGGTAGTTCTTTGGATCGACATTAGGAATTTTGACAGTGTTTCCCATGTAATGGACTACAATATCATGTGCAATAATTCTTCTCATCCTACATATCAGTGTGTTCTCAAGAAAAGTCTCAATCAGTTGCTATACGGATCACATACTCAAGTTGCTATATTCAAAGTCAAACTCATGTTGCAAAACAGAACCTTTATAGCAGCTTCCATGAACAAGCAACTAAACCAACTTTTCATTTAAATTTTCACTTTTGTCTACTAACCAACTGTATACACTACACTTAGAGCTTGTCATATGTATTGCAGCTTTAATCTACAAAACTAAGCTCTTCTTATGTATTACAGCTTCAAAAAACTCAATATTCATCAACTTTTTGTTCATCAACTTTATAAAGGTCAGGCATACATCATCAAATCACACATTCTTTACAGCATCCAACATCAACAATACTTAATAAAACAAGAGCATACAAAGGGTCTGGTTGGATTATAAACTCGGTCATCAAGTTCAACAAAACACAAAAACACAAGGAAAACAGAGATATTATAGGCAATCCAGATAGAAAGCTTCATGACACCTGCATTTTCTCCTGTTACATGTTGATCATATCAACCAGCAATGAAAGATTTTTACCTGTTTTGCAGCTTAGTTTTGACAATCACACTTTCAGTCCAACCGAACGCATGCAATTTATTCAAGTGCCATATTTCCCCTCTTCTGCAATATCCAGCAAGAGATTTCCAGAAACATAGCTTCAAGTGGTTCTCAAAGCTATAAATAACAATCACAGTTATAAGTAGTATTTCATTCCTTGGCATTTCCCGGGCACTTAGATGTCTTATCAGAGCAAAATGGCGCCATGATACACGTACGGAACTCAGCTTCTAGGCGGCAATAGTTTTCCGCTCCTTATACAGTTGCATGCTTAGTGATATTGTCATTTTTTTTCCTTTTATCAGCTCAATAAGAGCACATCAGAAACAAGGGTATTATTGGCAACTGATGAATTTTTATAGTGACTTCTGACCCCACCATTACTTGAGGGGTGTTAGGAGAGATTTCCAAAATGTGAGGAGAGTTTAGTGATATTTCAAGAAACCTCAGGGGAGGTTTCTGATATTATCCCAATTTTTTCTCTTCATTTAATTTTTACCTTTTTGTCCTAAACTCCCAAACTAGGCCTTAAAAGTGAACGTTGGGAAGAGAGTTAAAAGCGAACGTTGCTATCTAACAAGAAGTCGGGTATGGCGGACTTCCTTGCTACTTTGCCCACCCCATCCATCTCTCGTTACAATTGCCGGGCACCGGACAAGTCTACTTCAGGACCATCATTACCCATTAAACTCATCATTTCGACCGCAGAGAGCTGCGCGCGTGCCTCCTACGCACCAACATCATCAAACTGCACCATACCCTTCTTGGGTTTGCGGACGACTCTATTACCCCGATTCTGCAGCATCACCACCACTCTCGCCGTCGTCAACCATAACTCTACTGAATCTTTTCCCAACGGCCGTAAGTAACTCCGTTCCTTCTTTCAGACTTTCCTTCGAATACGTTGCCTGCATATTCACACCTGAATGTGCTGCTCTTCAAAGCTTGTCGTTATAATGCTCAATCTTCTCAGGAATAATGCTCTCGTCCCTCTTCCAGCAAGTGGGGTTTAGGGAGAGAGATGTAGAAGCCCTGTTGAACTGCAATCCTGCTCTCACATTAACCCCTTTCGATTCCATTCAATCCCGGGCACGTTCACTACAAGCTCTGGGGTTAAGCCACCTTGCCCTTTCTCGATTAATTTTGAAAAGGCCAGAAGTTTTAACCGCTCCAGAAATTGATTCATTATTGCACTTTTTTCTTCGGAATGACGATTTGGATATACGAGGCAAAATAGAGCCTGCAAAGATTGAGCGCCTTCTAAATGCAACGGAACCAACTTTCTTCCTGGGATTTGAAGACAAAGTAAGACTGCTGCTTCACCATGGGATTCCCCAAGAAAAGCTTGTTCATGTTCTCAACAAAGCTAACTTAACCAAGGCATTGTGCCTTAAGTCGGTTGATGAAATTGGTCGGACGCTGGCTTTCTTGAACCGCTTTGGTGGGGTTGATTTAATTCTTAAACGTCCATCGATCCTTAATTATGATTTGGACAGCCAATTGATTCCGAGGATCACGTTCCTTTTAGAGTTGAGTGGGCGCAATGAGGATGCCACTGCTACTGTGTTGCGTAAACTGCCATTTCTTGTGGCTTACAGTCTTGATCACTTGAGCGATCATGTTGAGTTTCTCAAATCATTTGCCGGGTTAACTGAGAGTGAGATATTCAGGATTGTTGCGGTTTATCCGAATTTGTTTAGCGCCAGCAGGAAAAGGAAATTGCACCCCAGGATTGACTTTCTGAAAAAATGTGGTTTGAGTTCCCAGGATATATGCCGGTTCTTGATCAAAGCCCCTTTGTTTATTGGTCTGTCATTTGAGGAAAATCTTGCTTGCAAGCTGGTTTTCTTGGTAAAAATTGGTTATGAGAACAGAACCAGAGAATTGGCTATGGCAATGGGTGCTGTTACCCGGACTAGCTGCAAGAATTTGCAGGAGGTGATTGGGGTTTTCTTGAACTATGGATTAACTTGTGAGGATATTCTGGAGATGAGCAAGAAACATCCTCAGATATTGCAATACAACCATGAATCACTGGAGGAGAAGCTGGACTACTTGATTGAGGATATGGGTCGTGAAGTAGGGGAACTATTGGCTTTTCCTGCATTCCTCGGTTATAAGCTTGATGGTAGGATTAAACATAGATATGAAATGAAGAAGAGTAGTTTAGGTGAAGGAATGTCCCTCAACAAGCTATTGAGTGTCTCAGCTGCTACATTCTCGACTAAAAACAAGATACAAACGATTTCATTGATTGATGACATGAAGTGAAGTAATGATTATATCACATAGATATTGGTATATCTCCTGTTCAAACTTCTAGTGCTTCCTTGAAATGGAAATTCCAATAGACAAGAACGCTGGTTCCCTTTCATGTCTGGACTCTGGTGCGCTGAGACATGATGAATATGGTTACTCTTCAGCGAGAGAGAATTGTCTCCTCCAAAGGCCCTTTTTTTATGGATAACATTGGACTTACCCTTATTGAAGGTCTTCATGATTGTTGGTGATTAGTAAGAGTTTCAAGTTCAATTTATACCTGGCCGAAATTAATGTTTCATGTATGGGAGAGCCTGTTCATTTTTTGCACTACAATGTTCACAGTTTAGAGCCCAGTAAGTGTAACTGATGTGTTCTATTTAGAGCCTGAACATCCATACCACTGTTTACTGAAGTGTCTGCACCACAAGTCAATGAAAGTTCCTAGGCAGATGAAGCAAGTTTTCATACTGAAAAATGTACCTAGATGAATTGAAAAAACTCTTTTAAGTTTCGACTTGCTAGATGTTCTTAATTGATCTCTTGATTCTCTTACATCGCCTATTTGATAAAAGAAATCAGACTCTCGCTTTCCCCAGAATCATTCTTGAATCAGATATAGATAATTGACTTTCTGTTGTTGAATGTTCACTGAACCAAACATTGTAGGACCTGTAAAGCATGTTGCAGCTGTAGCAGGCATATTTCCGGGATCTATCACAGCAACAATCACATTTGATATGTGCTTATGAAATTTTCAAGAATTGTGTCATTTATCAACTCATTTTTTCCGGTAATGCAAAATTAGTTATTCTCTACATGCTTGCTTGTAGGTTTTATCCTTTTGTCTGATTGATTTTATCTTGTTTCTTAGTCAGGCTCAAAAAACATATATGTTCCAGGAAGTCAGCTTATTAGCATTAGCCAAAGAGAATAGCCACCTAAAACACGCCTACGCAACCAAGAGCGAAAGAAATGTTGAACTCAAATGACTTATTTAACCCTCAATTCGCCCTTAAATTACTTGATCGCTCATAATCTCAATTCTCAGAGCTTTGCATGCTTTTAAACTCAGTTTAAGTCTTAAGGATTCTACATTTTGGGCATAAAATAAGAGGTGCGCCGATTTAACTCTGCCTGCAAAACCCTAAAGTATCCTCAATTGGGGTTGGTAAAATTTTTATTATGAGCCTATGCTCTTTTTTATGTGCTTATGGCCAACTACGTTTAAAACGAACTGAATTAGTTTATAGGACATATATGTCCTATTACTTTTTTTTATTTGTTCTATAATAATAATTGTCTATTTACGTGAAATTTTAATATTTTTACTTCAAAAATAAATGAAGACTCATATCAAAATACTTCAATTGTAATACTTGTTTTATTTTATTGTACAGCTTTTTAAGTTAAAATTTACTAGCAATATAATCAGCAAAAAATTTAAAAAACAAAAAACGTAAAATACAAATTACAAGAAGTCAAGCAATTATAATTTATTTTTAATCTATTTTCAATTTTGATAAGATTCAAAAAAAAGTCTTGCACAATTGTTCAAAAGTCAAAGAATAAAGTATTTTAAAACATTTATTTCCTTGTATAAAACAAAATTATTTTAAATATAAGGAAAATTTATTATTATGAAAAATATATTCAAATATTAATTGAGCTTATAAATAACCCAAAATATCGTGATGCAGTGTAAAAATTTATGAGGACAAATTTGATATTCTACTATTTAGGTATTCTAGGATGAAGGTGGAAAGGACTTTCCCCAAGGTTTTATTTATTTATTTTTTTTTTTTTTTGAGGAATGAAATTTCAAAAAAAAAAAATTGCAACAAACATTCCAAGGGAAAGAAGTTTCCCACGAACCATACCAAACGTTAGAATGAAATGAATAAGTTCAAAAGACCTTTTCTTTCCAAGCCATTCCTAGGGTTAGTGGACATGTAGCCACGGAGATAAAATCTCGTGGAATGCAAGAACACAACGTTCCGTACAATTCCTGGGTAGCATTCAATTTTACTTTCTTAAGAATTTAAAAAACTGTACTTAAAATTTCCCATTTGGATTTGGTACCTACTTTTTTGCTTATATAATTCCACAGACTCGCGCTTTTCAGAAAATATTCTTACACTTTCTTTAGCAAAATGTTGGTAAAAATGCTAAAAAGTAGACAAAAATAAAAAGCATGCATGAAAACACGAGGGTACAAGAAGTTGGATCGAGAGAATAAAAAGTAGTAATTCAATCCATTCAGTGACTTTGGCACTGGACATTCCCAAAATGGATACCATAGGGTCGGGTGAATTAAATAATAGACACCTATTGGCATTCCAGCCTTCCTTCTCCTTTCAGGGCCTATCTGAGAATCCAGTAGTTCTTGGTTGTGAATATCTGAACTGTTGTTCAAGAATTCTTGTTTAGCCAGCTCATAGCACCCATACATAGTGTTTTGATCTACGATTTTAATTCTTCCATCTTTCAGCAGTAACATCCTTGATCATAATTTCCAGTATTCATACTGTGGCTAATATGAAACTTGTGATTTGTAGTAAAACACCGATTCAACCGTTGATGTTGGGGCCTAATTCTACCTTCATACATTTCTCGAAATATTTTCTTACGAAGTTTTGTTATAGCATCCATAACTGCTTCCGGTTTAGGGGGACAGCCTGACAAATAAACATCTACAGGAATTAGCTTATCAACCCCCTGAACAGTACTATAAGAATCGGTACTGAACATCCCTCCTGTAATTGTACATGGTCCCATAGCAACAACATATTTTGGTTCAGGCATTTGTTCATATAATCTCACTAAAGAAGGGGCCATTTTCATTGTTACCGTTCCGGCTGTTAAAATTAGATCTGCCTGTCTAGGACTTGATGAAAACACGAGGGTACAAGAAGTTGGATCAAGAGAAGAAAAAGTTAAGCGGTCCTGCTTTCAGCCATAAGCAGTAAACGGCACACTGCACCTCACCGTACAAGAAGGCAGACGCCTAACCCAATGTTTCTCCTCAGTCTTATATACAAGATCATCTTACACGGCCCTATTCAAGTTGCAGCAGAAAATTCCTTCTCGTAAGCTACAATAATGCCTCTACTCAGAGTTGCACTCTTTGCTATAAAGTATACTTTGGTTTTAATCACTTACAGCCTATGCCTCTACTCTGCCATGGAAGGTTCTCTAGTTGGTTCAACTGTCAGCGGCTCCAATTTCTCTGCTTTACCACTCCCCTTAGGAATAATCAGTCCATATCCTCCAGCTTTTCTTTTGTACACAATGTTGATCTCGCCTGCAACAAGGGATACAACAATCAGAAACAAGAGGAACATCATAATACTAAGATTTTAAAATAAAATATATATAAAATGTATAGAACCTATATTCTTTACCAGTTTCCTCATTCCGAAAACCATAGAAGTCATGATCCACATTTTCCAGCTGCTCAATCGCTTCACTTACAGTCAAAGGTGGCATGTCAAAGTATTTTGTACGAACAATCTGCAACCGGTACAAGGCATGAGACTCTCTGAGAAAATGCAAGAAGCTACACTTTACATGGCACGTCATCCATGATGTCAGATTTTTAGTTGGTACCAAGATGAATGAGGTACCAACTCAAAGCGCACGATACTACTGATGAAAATATATTTCTATGTTCTCTGAATTTGACACCTACTCGTATCATGTCTGCAACGGATGAGTCACAAATGCATGCAAACCAGTAAACAAGACAGTTATCTAATTACGACCAAACAAAAAATCAATAGCACAGTCCTTCCAGTTTATACAGAGAGGCTGTCATGATATGTTACATTTGTCGCACAGCACAGCATCCTAATCTAGTGCACTCAGTTGACAACATGTTTATAAAAAAATAATAATAATAAAACTGTTTCACATGCAACAGAAGTCACTGCAATGGGGTTTGCCATAAAATAGATTTGAAGATCAGTTTATGTCCTCCCACAATTTAGTTGGACAAACGAATTTGCTGGATTCTTCAACTAATGGAAATATCTATCAATGCTGCAAAATCGTTAACTATCATCCAGCAACAGATGTAAAGCACCAACCAAAGATCTCTTTCAAGTGAATTAGCTAAAAACCAAACACATGTGAACCAAAAAAGAATAAACAGAATCCCTCCTGATCGATCATGTCGGGAATAATGAGAAATGCTTGAAGATAAAAAGCTGCTTTACTGGGTCAGATAGGTGCAGGCAGAGGTAAAGACACATCAACGCTCTCTGACTAGATGAGTCACCCAACCAAGATTCAGAAAGTACATGAATACTTGATTAGTTAGCTCACTACTATTAGTCAATCCATCGTGGAATGTAATGCAGCATATTGTTTTTGTTACTTGAGTTTGCTCTTATCTAAGTGGCAAAGGTAATTGCTAGCATTGAAACTATGATGAATACCCTGCGGCGGATGTCAGCGGTTTGAGTCCGCTTATCTCCAACTCGTGAACTTAGAAAATACAAAAGCTATATGATAGCACCCAATTCCGATTCGGCGGTTCGATCATCTATCATTCATGGATTTGATAAGATCCATCCATTTAGCAACACCTCAGGATGGCATAGCCTTAAAATAATAGTCAAAAAAAAAAGGATAACGCTATAGAATATAGGCATCATTAGCTATAACTGTTTCTATCTCTTTCTGTCTCTGAAAGAAAGAACAGAAAATATCAAAGAGACAGACTTGCCTTACCTTTCATTAGCTAAGGCAGATTTGGTGCGCTCCACCACTAAACCTACTACTTGTGGACGGAACTGGAATCCCAACATACTTGGCCATTATTATGCTCATAAACTAGATAAAACATTTCTAACTGGAGTAGTGTTTTGCTTTACCAGCGATGATTAAATTTGTAAAGCACGTATTGGAAACACCAAAAACAGAAACAAGCGGTTAAGTAAAATCATAGTATGAAACAAGCATGACTACTCGGGTAAAGACAACGACGATATAAACGAGAGAGGAGAACCTCATTGGCAATGTCCTCATCTTTATCTTGTGCCTCGGAAACCGTCTCTAAGCCCTCTTCAACTGCTGCTGCTGGTAGTGCACCGCCAACATCTCGGAATTTGAGTCTGTCAAAACCCTTCATGTGACGACCGTGATCTGAATCTTTCTCTTTGATCTTCCTCAATTTCCTCTGGATGATGGATGCCACCAAATCTATGCTTCCATACACTGTCTCTGCATCTTCCTCTGCCCGAACGACACCATGCTTCTTAGTAAACAAGGTTACCTGACAACGTAATCTCAACTTTAAGTAAAGCAAACACAGAAATTCCTGGGATCAAGAAACTTGTTGAAAATTTGCCCATGAGCTGCAGCATACCTCACATCTTCGGATTCTGGGGCCTTTTCCAAATTCTCCACTCGGACAGACAACCTGACATCCACCTCCCTCACCAGATGGCTGTGCTTTTGCACAGCCTTGCCCAACTTCTCTTCCACATGACTCTTCACTGCTGGAGCTAACTGTAAAAGTACGCAGCGTCTAAATAACTTTGTACATACGAAAGGAAAGAAAGCGTATAATTGCTGCGTGCACAATAGTATCAGTACTGAATACATTGCAATTACAGAAAATGTATCTTCAATGTTTATCACGTAAATAGGGAGAAAAAATTATCATGCTTGACTGCAAATGCCAGTGAGATTCACATCTCCCCTTGGGAGCAAAAGGGGCAAAGACAAAAGAAAATATTGAAGTTGGGTGGGAACGCAATTGGATTAAAAAGATAAAAGAGGTGATTTTTACCAAAGAAAAGAGATTCAAAAGAAGGGGTTGGATACCTCAAGGTTTTTGCCCTGAATGATTAGTTTGACAGAGGAGAGAGGGCCATCCAAGACATCCGGATGGGGAAGGATGTGGGAGGAGGGGGAATCTTGAAAGCGATAGTGTCAAGGGTCCTGAACCTTGAGCTTAAGAAGCTGTAGCAGGTGCTGGAAGAGACAATGACCAAGAAGTGGAGGCATAGGGGAAGAGCTGGTGGTAAGCGAGGCAGGAGGAGTAATAGTACGCGGGAGACGTGGGGATAGCGGAAAGGCGATTGCAAAGTTGGGGAAACCGCTGCCATTTCTGCAGATTCTTCAAGATTACTCGATCAAACACAAACAAACAAAAGGCAAGGCTCTTAAGAAGAAGAATCTAATCTTTTTTTCCTTTTTAATACAATTCTGGGTGCCACTTGCTAACAAAATACTACTCGTTAAAAGAAAAAAAATGCTGCAATATGTCCTGGGTTTTTCTCTTTGGAGGAGGAGGAGGAGGAGGAGGAGGGGATGAGGAAAAACGGCGACAGGCGAGTAGCCCCCTGCAGGAGTAGTATTTAGTAATAGTACTAGCAGTGAGTGAGCAGAACTGTGCTAGGAAAGAGGGAGAGAGTCGCTTGGGTAAGGTTCAAGATTTTGCCATTTTTATTTTGAAAAAATTTTGGAGCGGTTCAGTGTTCGCACACAGAGACACTGCTGAAAAAATTTATTGAAGAGGAGGCGGACGTGGTTTGGGCAGGGGATGGGGTGGGTCATGGAACAAGGACACGTGACAGCAAGGACTAACAACCGATCCAATAGGGTCCCCACACCAGCACCAAAACCACCCCGAGGGCCCGACGGGCTTTCGGCTGCCCCTTCTCCTCTCTGCCCATCACTCTCACTTTGTGTCCAAGTTTCAATGGATAAGTTTTGAGTTTCCGTCCCCCTCCACCACCATTCCCAAAATTGGGGTTTTATCTTCAATGACAAACGGTGAAGTCAGTCAAACCCACAGTGGTTGGCCCAAACCAGCCACTCTTTATTTCTTCCTCCTGTCGTTTTCTGCAATCCAGGAGTTGAGGCCCATTTTTAAGCAAAGGGACAATACTAAGTCGGATCCAAGAAAGATGCCAATTTAATTTAAGTTTTGAGAATGTCTATGCAGTATCTGGGCACTACACTTTACAGGAGCAGTGACTAAGTTCAATTTTAACTTTTGAGACGGAAAACTACACTTACAAAAGTTACTTGAATCTCATGGTAAAAAAAAATCTCATGGCAGTCCTTCCAAAACAAAACAAAACAAAAAAAAATATATCATGGCAGATTAAAAAAAAAAGAAAAGAAGAAGCTATCTTTTAGATTTACGTTTGTCAAAAAATTGGTAAGGAGTGCAGTGCGTGTATTTATACTTCTTACCTTCCTCCACTAAGCGTGGCCACATCAATCTCCACTTCCTTGCCCAAGCGAGTCTAAATTGACTTTTATGTGAATTTTCTAGAAAATTGGAGTTTAGTCCTGTAAGATATTTCTTCACTCAACTTCTGATTCCACGGTCAAATTCAACCTAGTTGCATTTTCCAATGTTTTATATTATTTGCTAACGCTGTGTCCGATCAAATAACGTTTTAAGACTTAATTTGACCCAATGAGAGAAATGTATGCGTACCCCTTAGATACAGTGTGTGTGTGTGTTTCTACATATTACTGAGGGAAAAAAATTGCGGAGTGATAAAAGCCGTTGGCGAGCTTTGGCAAGAGTTTTGGTGTTTCTTCTTCCCTAGTTTCAATCCCTCATCGATTCTTAGTGGTGTGCGTGTGTTCTACTTAAGATTCTCGGTGTAGTTTGAAAGTCAGCATGCCTTTTGGGTTGGACCGTGGGTTCCCCTTAGATAGAGAGTGTGTGTGTGTGTTTCTACGGATTGTTGAGGGAGAGAAATGTATGCTTTTTCCTACTTTTTTTTTTGAGTTATAAGTTGGGGAAAAAAATCGAATGAATGAATTTTTTTTTTTAAGATTATTTCAAAGTAAAATGGAGATATGGA